AATATATTATTATAATAGTTTCTTGATCATCTTGTTATTAAAAGAGATATATACTATCACTACTAATATTTTGATTACTTTAAAAACCAACCAAATGTCTATATAGTAGCTGCTAAATCTTGATATACTATCTATTTGCTTTTTCTAGGCTTTGTTTATTAAGAGGTCTACTTCTGAGCTTTTAGTTTTATCCTCTTCAGCTGAAGTCTAAAAACTCAAAAATCTTGAGTTATTTTTTAATACAAATTTGCTATAATGTTTACTTATGTTAAATTCATTTATTCCTATAATATCGACTTCTTGTTTATTTGCTTATTCTGCTAGTAACTTACTTTTACATTATTATTTTTAATCCTATTAATATTATATGTTGCTATCTTAATTATTCTAAAGTTCATATCTGTTTTTTGTATTACTACTCCTTTTACTTATCTTCTACCTCTTCTTATACTATAATTTTGCTTTTGGTTTTTTAATTCTTTTGCCCTTTGCTAATTTCTAAGTTTTCCTTTTTGAGAAATCTAGACATACTGTAATTCAACTGATGCTGTAATTTAGAATTGATCAGAAGTATTGTGACTCTTGCATTTGTTCCTATTTTTGAAAAAATATTTATCTTTTTTTGTAAGTACAAGCAAACTCTTTAAAACTTCACTCATACTTAAACTATTTCTCTTGCTATATTGAGATCTTTCGTATCTAGAAAATTACTGATTCTTTCTATTTCTATCTCTATAATTGCTTGTTCTAAATACACTACTTTGTTCTGAAAACTCTAAGCTAATATTATTAGTATTTGAGAATATGTTCCTTCCTAATTTATTTTCCTGCTTATTCTTATAGCTACTATATTTTACATAATCTTCTTGTGATATTAACTCTCTTTTTCTGTATTCTGACTCTCTATATACATACTTTAAGCAACTTTCATCTAAATCTTATCTTATTTCCTTCTCTTTTTTTAATCTTTTAGGGTTTAACTTTTGCACTATATCTAGTATTACTTTACTTACTACAATATATTTTTTTTCTTTAAAGTATTACTTCTTACTATTACCTATTTTAGTTTATTATCATAATAGTATACTGAAAACTTTGAGCTAGCTAGCAGATCAGTTTTGCTTACAAAGTAAACTATTATACTTTTTTTGTTATTATTATTTATATTCTTATAGATATGCAATACTTTAGCTTCTATTTGTCTAACCTATCTCTACAATAGTATCTTATTTGTATCCTCTAGTAGATCTAGAATTTTTCTAAAAAAAGGTTTGATGATTTAGTATAGTAGTTAGATTGTTGGACTGCTATGTAATAGGTCTGAAGTTCAAATCTTACTATTAATGAGTTTGAATAATTTCTCAGACCTTGTGATATATTACAGTAAACTCTATCTATTTCTAGAGATATATTTTTGTAAATTGAGTTGCACCAAATTGATCAGAATTTAGAAATGTAGCATAATGTTGTATGAATAAATCTTAATAGGATATAAGAGCAGAAGATCTATATAGTAGAAATCTTAAGTCAGTAAAGTAGTATAGCCTTCTAACAAGACTATATTAGCTAAAGTTTGATCTGAGAAGAAAACTTGGTCTAATAAAAGTAGAAAGTTTCGAGGTCTCTAAGTGAAAGGTAACTAGAACTAGTTAGATACTAGAAAAAGATTAGGTCAACTAACTAGTAGAGACTATGATAGAACCTGAGGTTGTATGAATATCTACAAGGGTCTAAGCTAGATAAATTCATAAAATAGATACAGACCACTCTAGTAGGTTTGCTTCGAGGTTAACTGGTTCTGCAATACTAGCAATATATCTAGTATAATATATCTCAAGAAGACTTAAACTATTTAGATAAATGAATCTGTAATGAGCTAGCTAGCTTAAGTGATTAGGTGTTGTAGTAATATTAGATTAGATTTGTATGGGTTAATGAACAGAGTATTTAAATAGTTAACTCATAGATAGGTTACAGGTATAGTAGCATAGTATAGAACTAATCTGATAGCCTAATGTCTATACAGTAGACTACTTAAAATTGATAATAACTAAAGTTATATATGTAGCTTGTTGTATACTCTTCATATAATTACAAACAGTAAGGATTATTAATATATAATCTTGTTGACAACACTAATAAAAATTTCTTCAGCAATATAAGCCATCTTAATAACAAAAAAAAAAAAACTAAACTAACTATTGTATAAAGATACTCTTTATAAATAAGATGATATATCTTAAGAAAAGTAATTTTGTTATCCAAAAATTAAATTTTTTTATATTAAGCTTTAATTCAGCTTTTCTGATTCTTATAAAAACTTCTCATAGATATTTAATATAATCACTAAAGCTTTATGAAAATATATTATTATTATCTAAATATACAACTATATATTTAGAGACATTAGAAGGTTGCAGGAATATTGCAAAGTTCAAATAGTATTATATTAAATTTATAAGTATCATATCTTATTATGAAGGCTATTTTTTCTTTGTCTGCTAGATTTATCATTACTGCTAGTATTTATTTATAAAGTCAAGAGTTGAAAAATAAGTAGTTTCAGTAAATGAGTCTAACATTTTATCTATTTGTAAGAGAGAATAAGAATCCTTTTTAGTAATTTTATTGAGTTTTCTATAATCAATACAAAATCTTTTTTTTCATTTTTCTTTGCAACAAATATAATAAGAAAGGCTCAGAAACTTGTTAAATTAGTTATAAGATTATTTTCTAATATCTGTTAAACTTCTTCATTAATAAATATTTGTTCAGTGAGAAGCACTATATAGGATTAAAAACTTATAGAAGGTACATCTTTAGTATAGATTTTATGAGTTACTAAGTTAGTCTTTTCTAACTGAGTAATATCTTTTGCAAAGAGATCTGCAAATTTTTTTAATAATTGTTTGAATATTATTTTCTGTTTTTGAGTTAAAGTTCTAATTTTCAGCTTAACTTCTTAAGTTATAGTATATATTATTTTTTGTTGTAAATTATTTCTAAGAGCTATTTTGAGAGCTTCTTGTTTTGTAAGAAATCTTTCTAATTTATTAAATAGTTTTATATCATACTTATGATGATTTAACAATTTTAAGAGTAATTAGAAGTAGTAGCCTGTTAACTATTTACTTATTCAAATTGTTTATTATAAAAGTTTTCTATTTGTCTATAAAATCTTTTAAAACTATTAACTTTGTTTTGTAAAACTTTGATAGTTTGGATCTAATATTTAAATATTTTAGTTTGAGCTTATAAGAGGTCAATAACTTAAGCTTGTTGTTCAATTTGCTTTTTTTTTTTTTTTTTGTTGTTAAGGCAACTTATATTGCTGAAGAAATTTTATTAGTATTGTCAACAGAATTATATATTGATAATTCCTACTGTTTATAATTACATAAAGAGTATACAACAAGCTACATATACAACTTTAGTCATTGTCTATTTTAAGTAGTTTGCTGCATAGATATTAGGCCATTTGATAAGTTCTATACTATGCTGCTATACTTGTAACCTACCTGTGAGTTACCTATTTAAATACTCTGTTTATTAACTTATTTAGATTCAATCTAACATCACTATAATATCTAACTGCTTAAGCTAACTAGCTTATTATAAATCTATTTATTTAGAATAGCTTAGATCCTTTCAGAATATATTATATCAGATGCATTGCTAGTATTGCAAAACTAGTTAACTTTGAAACAAATCTACTAGAGTAGTCTGTATCTATTTTATAAATTTATCTAGTTTAGGCCCTTATAGATATTTATACAACTCCAGATTTCACTATAGTCTTCTACTAGTTAGTCAACCTAGTATTTAGCTAGTTCTAGTTACCTTTTACTCAGAGATCTTGAAACCTTTTACCTTTATTAGATCAAGTTTTCTTCTTGAATTAGACTTTAGTTAATATAGTTTTGTCAGAAAGCTAAATTACTTCACTGACTTGGAATTTCTACTATATGGATCCTTTGCTTATATATCTTATTAAAATTTATTTGTATCCCTTAAACCGTCTGTTTTAGCGTACAAATTTACACGCTAAAAATTACTAAAAAAAATAATTAATAAAAAAATTTTTTTTATTAAAAAATTTAATTTAAATTTACCGGATGAAGCTCCAGAACCTCAAGTCATACGGCATACCTTTTAGCTGCAGTGTTACATATGACATGTATCTTGAACAAAGAACACGAATTCAAGTTACATTAATATGTTATGCTGCAGCTAAGAAATATTTTACATAATTTGAAATTGTTGAGCCGCCCTGGTAATTAGACCATAATGTATGATTTTAAAAATATTTTGTAGTACTTCAAATATCAAGTTATGGGTTTTTTTGCACAAGCTAATGATGGGAATGTGTCCTTCGCTATTAGGTGAATATTGGTCATTTTTGCTACGTCGTACGAAGGTTAAATGTGTATTTATCATGTCAAATGAAGGTAACTCATGTATTTGTCAAATCAAATGAAAATATTTGCCAGGCTAAAAAGGATTTTGTGTGCCGGAAGCTCTAGTGTAATTTTTTCATTGAGAAAAAAAAATAATAATTAGAATAATACACTTGTGACTACTATGAAGTTATTTATTGGATCGATGCACCCTTGCTTCGCTTTGTGTTCAAATTTAATATTAAATTTAAAATTGTGTATATCGATATTAATTCTGGTTTACTTGGGCAACACACACTCAGGAATTAACATTTTCCTATTAAAGGTTTATTTATTTGTCAAATTATGCTTAAAATGTAATCGATCGTATGACATAAATGTTGATCCAACTTTAAATGATTATCGCTATGATTTCTTACAGTAATTTTTTTTTTATTTTTTTTTAATTTATAGCTAATTTAATAACCCATATTTAATTACTTGCATCTCATGTGAACAAGACACTAAAGAAGTATGTAAAGTGAGCATGCTTTTTTTTTTTTTGGAAAATTTTTTTACCAGACCCAAATTATTCTTTAAATTTTAATGTTTTAAATCTTGGTGTTATTTAGTGGTATAGAATTGTAAAAAACAATTCCTGTCATTATTACAGCAAAGAGGTTCATTACACGACACACACCAAAAACTACTTCTATGTGGTAACTTACGATCCATATCCAATTCATTTTTATTTGCAAGCCATGTACACCATCGACATGCCACGCGCTGTTCCCTCCACTCAACTAAGTGGTTCCCAGGAATAAGCCATTTGTCCGAGAGCTCGAAATGTTTTGTTGCCTTCGGTCGCTTTGTTTCATTTTCTGGTTTGGTTTCTACTGAATTTTTTCTCAGTTTAACACCACCATCATCATTTGCAAAATTTATAAGGTTCCACACAAGATCATAACGAAACTCCTTATGCTCCTTTGTCGATCCCGAAGTTCTAACAATCCGATATGCGTTGATAATAGCCGTATCTAGAAGCCAGAAAAAAAGTGGTATCCAATTTCGCTGAGTTACTTGTTGTGTACTGTAATAAGACCTTAGTTGGTCCGCAACATCCACACCATTCATACAATTATTGTAGTCATCGATTATTTTGGGAATTTTTAATTTTTTTTTTGATTCAGTTCCAAATACCGCACGCACCTTCACTGCATCTGTGCTTGTTTCTCTTGGTCGCCGTCTTTCTCGCTCCACCTCCCGTTCATCACCAATGAGCCTATGAATTGTTGTTAACATTGTTACGAGCCCATTATCTTGCCAAAAAACCGCCAATGCACCATTTATTTTAACACCAGAATGGACATTCCAATCTAGTTTAACATTTTTTTCCACTTTTAATTCTTTTGGGAAGCCAGAGGAAGTTTTCTGAATAGTTCCACAAGCACCAACATTGATCTGCTGAAGATGTTGAAAAAGAGGAATACTGGTAAAGTAGTTGTCCATATATATATTGTATGAAAATTGGCAGTATGGAAGTTGTTCAACAAGGTGGTGAACCAAACATCCAACTTGATTAAGGCCACTTATTTTTGTCACTTGTATTGGAGAGACACGCGACGTTGGCAGGAAGGTGTAAGTGTACCCAGATTCACAAAGAGACAAAATTTTGAAGCCTTCTGGAGTCAGCTTGTTCTTGATTCTAACGGTATGAACACTCCTGCCAGAAAATCTAATTATCATCTCGTCGACTGAGACGTTCGAATTTGGTATGTAAAGCTGCTTGGAGACGTCACGGATATGCGAAAGCAATGGTTCCAATTTCTTAAAATAATTATTAATTAAAATAGCGGGGGGAGAAATATGTAAAAACCTCTTAATTATTTCGAAGCGTTTTAGTGACATTTGTTTCGAGATATGGTGAATGGGAAGTTTTTCATTCTCATTCCAATATTGATCAAGAGAGGGCAGCCTATAAAGTCCTTGATAAATAACAAGGGCAATCCAGATGATGAGCTCTTTACGACTTAAGTCCAACCATTGCCTATCAGTTACACCAGCACCTTTTGTTAATGCATAAAGGTTTGTATTTTCAACAATTTGGTCTAGTATGTTAATTGTAAAAAAAAGAAAAAAAAAATCTATCGGTTTAGAGACAGCAACATCAAGATATGATGGTAGCCGAACAGATGCACGGTGCAATGGCTTTTGATGAACGAATTGTTCAAAGTCAGAAGGTGGTGGCGGTAATTCTCGTTGTACATTTTCTAGTAATTTACGCTTTTTTGTGCGGGCACTTCTTAGTTCTGATTCTATTTTCTCATCCTCATCCTCATTATCTAATTCTGGATTATCCAAGTCATGCCAGCGAGTTGTTAAAAGGGGTATGTATTCTTCCTCATCGTCTACATTTGTTTCCGGAATTTTAAGAGAAGGTGAAGATGACGCAAATTTAGAGGAAATGATTTATTAACAATTATTAACAATTAGGAATTTTTTTTTTTTTTTTTTTTTTTTTTTTCACGATAGGATTTTATTTATTGTGTGTTTTTTTTGTTTAGTTTCAAGGTCATCATATTCTTAATCCATAATTTTGATTACAATAAAAAGATCCCTAGAATTTGTCTGATAAATGATTTATTGAATATGTTACAATGCATGCGAAGGTAGAATTTAAAAAACAGGTTTAGCCCATTTATCTAATATATTATGGACCGGTACCAACAATTTTGATTTCAATTTCTTATTTTATTTGAAGTTTCTGCACCAAAAAAATTAAAGTTTATTTTAACACGAAGTTTCCAAGTGAGCATACTGATAAATTCTAATTGGAGTTTGACATAGGATTTAATTTTTTTTTTTTTTTTGATTCACGATAGGCTTTTATTAATACTGTAGTGTTTTTTTTTGTACAATAGTGCTCAGTTCTTAATCCATAATTTTGAATTATGATTAGAGATTGGAACTGGATTCGGTATTCGGATTTAAATCCAATTTCCTTCAGATTCGATTTAAATTCTCTGATTCTACTGAATCTGCAATGTTGGCACAAAAACAAAAGAATTCGAATACCTGTAATTATAAATAGTACGATAAATTTATTGTCTTTTAGGTTGTCGAATTCTTTTGCCATAGAATGTATGTACGAATATACATACAATTAAACTATTTAAATTCCGAAGCTGAAGATCACTAATTAAATAAATTCGGATTTAAATAAATTCGGTTCCAAACTCTAATTGTGTTTGAGAAATAATTTATAAGTCACGATGTATACAAATGTATATTATGAACCGGTACCAACAAGTTTGACTTCAATTTACTTATTTATTTAAAGTTTCTGCACCAAAAAAATTAAAGTTTATTTTAAGGCGAAGTATTCTATAAATTCTATCGAATTGGGCTAGGGCCGGTTTGAGATTAAGCATAGCGAAGTTGCCACATTACATGTAAAATTACTTCTTGAACACTTTTAATTAGTGCTATAAAGTAGGGTTTGACTGTCTTTTTTTCGTATTTCTCATATTATCACTTTTTTTGCTTCATCGAGCTAATCTAAATTCACAGCCTTGATTAGTTGATTCCGTATAAAAGTACATTGACTTTAACAGACCCTTTAATAAAATATGATCGGCGATATGTGTTATTTTTATTTTATCTTAAAAATGGTAAGGGAGTATCTTAAAAAATTCAGGAGTAATTACACAACAATCGGCAAAAAATCATTTTAGCGTCTAAATTTGGACACTGGATGGTTTAAGGGATAATATTATACTATACTTCCAAGTCCTGATCAATTTGGTGTAACTTAATTTACAGAAGTACACCTTCAAAAATAAACTGGATTTACTATAATATATTACAAAGTCTGAGAAATTATTTAAACTCATTAATAGTAGGATTTGAACCCTAGACCTATTGCATAGTAGTCTGACAACTTGTTGTTCAATTTGTTTTTGCAACAGCTTAACAAAGTTATTAAGATCTAGTTCTTGTTTGACTTGAGTAATTGTAAATATATCAAATAGAGAAAGTAGAATTTCGGGTTCAATTTCTAGTTCAGGAGGAGAAAGATATATTTTATTATAGCACTAAAAGCAATAGTTATCCTTAAGTTCAATTCTTTGATAAAGATATATATATTCTTTGCAGAGAGTGACTTGTTTACCTAAGTTTCTATGAAGATTTTTTATAGCAACTTGTTGAGTAAAGTTTGAATAGCTTGTATCAAAGGATTTAGCAAAAATTTTTTAGAGTTCTTGTTTTTCTGTTTCTATAAGTTGTATATAAGGAAAATATACTAAGAGATTATTTTCTTCATTACTATATTCTTAGTTATACTAGTTAGTAATTTGAAGTTTTAAAGTATCTACTAATTCTTGAACACTTTGATCTAATTAAATCTTAGCAAGGCAAAAGATTCTATTCTGATTAAGATTATAAAAGTGTCCTGCATTTTTAGTTAATTCTGTATAATAGTAAACTCTAATCTATAGGTTATAGTTAGAGTTCCATTCAATATTTTAGGTAGCTTTATATATATAAAGATATTCTAGACTACAAAACTATAAGTTTTCTAGAATTGTATCTATTTTATGTATTTTAGTTCTGATATATTCATCTTTGCAGAAAACATATTTAGTGAGAAGTTCTTGTCTTTTACTATTAATAAAGTATTTTATATTATAAGAATCATTACAAAATAGTTGTTAGTAGAAGTCAGTTTAACAAATTCTACAAACTAATAAATTATTGAGAAAATAAATATCTTTTAGTTTCTGTGAGATTTTATATTGATAGTAGTAGTTAGTCCTTTTGTTACTATAGTATATCATATAATAGTCTTCTACTTCTGCTAGATAGCATCTATATCTATATCTTTGGTTATTTATTTTAAGAGAGACAAGAGGATAGCAAGTATCAATATATCCAAATTTATTATATTTTTAATATTTGTTATAAAGGCAATTTATATAGTGATATCTTGATTCTTTACAAGTTTTGTAGTGGTTTCTTTTAGAAAAATATTGTAAACAGTAAGTAACAATATGTCTATACTGATAATATCTGTTATATTGATTATTAGAGCAATTTGCAAATAGATGTTTTGTTTGCTAACAACTACTACAAATTCTAGAAGAGCTTGTGAAAGGAGTCCTATATTTATATCAAAGTCTTTGTATGATCTAAAGCTGTTCATTTTCTAATACTGTTATTTGGTATTCATTCATATAAGCTTTTTTTGGTATTAGAAATTCTTTTTTAAACTGATCAAGTTCATGAACTTTAGTTACAGTTAGTTGTTTAGAAAGAGGTTAGTTCTGTTTATAGGTAATAAGTATATGAATTTTCTTATTATTTCACTTGAAAGTATAGGCTTTGTTTTTTTAGTTTTTTTTTTACAATTCAGCAGTCATGCCGTGACTTTATTTAGATTTGTTTTTTATTAATAAAACTATATTATCAAGTTTAATACTATCTAATGCCTAATTTTTTAAGCCCTAACTCATCCAGTTATTCTAAAAATACCTATGTATGATCTGCTATAGTAACCTTTGACTTATACTTGAGTAATTTATAATTTATAAACTACAGCCCAGTATAAGAAGGATGCTACAGCCCATCATAACTAACTTAAAACCCAACTATCTGAAATTCTATCTTTTACTTCCCTAGCTATACTATCTAATGCTATTTTTAGACTAACATTACAATTTTCTGTGTTCTCATCTACTTTGCATTTTGTTTTCCTCCCTCTAGTTTTTTTCTTTGGATCATTTTTCTTTTTTTCTTTCTGAGAGAACTTTTCTTTTTTAGAGATCTTTTCTTTTTTCTCCTATGCTTCCATGTTTTTGCATCAGCTCCTCCAAACTTCCTTATAGATTAATTCTATCTATATATATCAGAACAGGCTCCAAAATTTTGTTATCATGCTTTCAGAGCTAACAACATTTTTGATCTTTTCCACATCTTCTTCATTAAGGATACCTCTTATCCATCTTTTTCTCTGTTGTTGTTTCTTTTCCTGTTCATA